AGTTAAGAGTAGTTAATTAGTATTTTTCTTTAATAAATACATATATTTTATCTTATATCTTATCTTATTTTCTTCTTATTCTATTGAGAGAGTATTTTAATTAGAAGTAAATTCATGTATATTATTTTATTGAGAAGATAATTATATTTTATTACAAATAAAACTCACACATATTATCTTATTAAAAAGATAATTATATTTTTATTATAAGTAAATTATATATAAATTATCTTATTGAGAAGATAATTATATTTTGTTAGAAGTAAATTTTGCATATATTATCTTATTGAAAAGATAATTAATTAAATAATCTCTTGAAGCTATAAAAGTAAATAACTATCATGAATATAGTCACTATTATCATTTTAAAATAATTATATACACATAATCTTAAAATAGTAATAATATATTGTATAGTTTGAATTATTATTAAATGTAAACAAAATAATATAATTTGGAAATATGATTTTAAAAATCAGTATAGTCTTCATTTTTACTTATTTAACTAAATTCTTTCTCATTCAGTATCCATTTTAATCTTTTCCTGATTAAAGATAGACTTGAGCTTTTTTAGCTATGAATGAGCTTTCTTGATATTGCTATGAGTTTAATTTAAGTTAGCCATATTCTTCTGTCAAAAATTCATTAATTATGATAGAATATCTATTTTTCTTCTTGCATAATAGTAACTCTTTGAATTTCATCTATACTTCTTGTTTACCATTATTTAAGTAGAATATATTTTTATTATGCATTATAGAAACTATTTTCTTTTTGTTTGATCTCAAAATCAATGATATCCATTTTATATTCTTCCCTTCATACTTAGCTATATACTTTTTGTAACTAAATATTATATCCAGAAATGATTATTGATATCTTATAATATTGAGATTAAAGATGGTGCAATAAGTATATAATACTTATTTATTACCTGTTATAATATGTTGCAACTTCAAAATTTTATAAGTTACAACTAGTTGCAATTAGATGATACTTTATTTATCATCACATTGCAATAGTTAAGGAGCCATCTTTAATTAGAATGCTCATGTTTATTATAGTATATATCTATTTATTATAATGTAAAATTAGTTTAATTTTTTATTTTTTAATAATGAATTCATTCTTACCTTGCTTTTATAATTAAAAAAAATATCCAAGTACATTAAGCCAACATGCTGCAGTTACAATATCAATAGTGCTTTTTTTTAATATTCCTGAATTTACAAGAAGCTTCTCTTTAATAAATTCTTTAAATTTTAATGAAATAATTATTTCATCTTGAGATTGGATCTATATATAATATTTTTCTACTATATCTTCATTATCTATTAATTGTATAGTTTTTTGATATTTATCTTAATAACTTATTAATAAATAGTTATGTTAAAGCTAATAATTAGTCTAATATCAGATAGATCTTGTTCTATATGATATACTTTTAATAAAAATCAGTTATGTAGCTTTTATGCTGACTTTTTACTTTTCTTTTTCATTATTATCTAATTTATTCAAATATTTATAAACTGCTTTCTTTTTGTTATATTCAGTAACTATTAATGCTGTTTATTATTCTTTAAGTTCTTTTTTTAAAATTTTAATTCTTTTATTTAAATTATATTAATTATCTTATTCATCATTTTCTAATTCATCTAAAATCTTGTCAAAATTATTGGAAATTGAATTTTTAATTAAAAATATTATTATTTTCTTAATTTTTTTAGCAGCTTTTATAAAAGAGCTATTGGGTTTATATTTATCAAAATATATTGATTTTTTTGTTTTTCCTATAAGATAAGATTCATATTTTTTTTTTTTAAATATGTATTATTTGATCAAACTAATTTAACTTCTTTTTTATTATCATTATTCTAATCATTATTATCATTATCATCTCTCCAATTATCAATAATTTGTATTTTTTTTATAAATTTTCTATTATTATCTTGTTCTTGTTCTTTAACATTAATTTTTCTTTTTGATGGATGGATTATTAATACATAATAACAGATTTAATTAAGATTATCAAGAAAATAAAATAAATAATGATTATCATATGAAAATATATCTAAATTTTATATACAAAGTGCTGATTTCTAGTCCAAAATTTATCTTTTTATTATATATATTATATAAAAATTTATTAAATTTTAAATCATAATAACTTAAAATTTTACATAATATTTTATAAAAGTATACTGATAAAAATATTCTATTTGTTTTAATTTATTTTAATTTATTATTTTATCAGTTTAGATTTATAATAAGTTTATTTGTTTTTAATTTATAAAGTTTAAAAGTTATATAATATTTGTGTGATTTATAGATGATAACCTATTATATATATAGTAATCATTGATTGGTCAGAAATATACAATAGTCTAATTAATTTGCAATTGGCTTTCCTATCATGAAAAAAGTTAAAATATTCTTCTTACCCCTTTCTAATTTACTTATACTATAATATCTCTAATTTATATATTTTTTGATTGGCTGATCTATATGGTATATTTTCACATTCTGTAAACTTTATTGATAACTATGTTACCTTCTTTGTCATTTCTCTAACTTATTTCTATTTCATATTCTTTAGACTTTCCCCTTCATCTTTTTTTTCTCTATTTTAACCATTATATTTGATACTATATAGTTGTGAAAAGATAAAAATATAATATTGATAAATCAAATTTTATGTTTTATATAATCTAAATATTTTTAACATAGCAATTATATCTTGTTCAATAAGTAATACTACTTTATTCAATAAGTAAGTATAATATTATCTGGGCTATTATAGTTAATAAAAGCTTACTCTTTTCATATTATTTTTAGAATATCTGAAGACTTTAAAGATCTCATATTTACTTATAAGATACTTAAAACTATTTTCCTGCAAGCCTCTAATGAAGAAATTACAAAATATGAGAAGCAACTTAGTAATATGAAAAATCTTAATCTAGTTCTTATTATCTCTTCAAATCAAGCTTGGATCAATTAGCAGGATTGATCAGCTTATCATGTAATTATGGATGCTTTCACAATAAATAGTCTTCAAAAGAGATATCAAGATGAGAATTCTTATTATGTCTTTCACTTTATAATTGTTATCAAACTCTATACTATATACAGAAATATTTGTAATCACTTTTTTAATATCTTTTATAATCATTCTTTCTATCAAGCTTAACTCTCTAATATATAACTATAACCAATTAGAATAATATAGATATTAATAAAAATAAAAGTACACAATAGTAATTTTAGAAAAGATAATAGTTTTTTTCTTATTATGTGAGGAGAATTCAACAAGAATAAGCAAAATTCTAATCATCTTTTATTAATTAATCCTTATATTGATCTTTATATATTTATATATGATTACATTATTTCTTTATATATAGTTTTTTGCTATTAATAAAGCTGATATTTACAGTATATATTGCAATTTATATATATTAATTTAATTTTTCACATGTATCTCACTTTTTACTTAAACTTTATAATAAAAAAAATAATAAATTTTCTTGATTAGTAAATCATAAATATATTTAAAGTTTTGAGTTTATTCAATAAGATCTAATTCTTGAAGATATCCTGAAATAACTATATTTAAATCTTCATAATATCAAATATATTTTAAAATAATTCAATTCTTATTACAAAGTTCTTTCTTAAGATAATTATGAATCAATTATTTTTCAAAGTCTTCCTTATTTTTATAGAAATATTTTTTATACTGTCTATATTATATATCTTGTACCTTTATAACTAATTCATATTATGAATAGTAGATATCAAGCTTTAATTCTTGAGAATACTTCAGTATTTTCAAGAAATCTGATTAGCAAATACCAGAGGATGAACTAAGAATATTTATTATAATATCATGATATTAATTTTCATGTTTGTTTAAGCAATATAAATACCATGTTTTGGCATGTTTTATACTATTAAAACTCACAAGTTATTTATGTTCTTGATCATATATTCATTACTATAGAGTCATTACTTTATAATAAATATATCAGTAATACTTGATTTGCTTATTGTTGATATATCATATATCAATTATGATTAATTATTTTTTTTTTCTTGGCAAAATTTTAGCAAATAAATCACCAGAAAAGTTTGTCTAAAATTATATTTATTCTGATTGAATAGATCATTACTCTGAAGAATAGACCTTATTATGAAGCTTATTTTTATGATATTTTCTAATAGGAAAAATAATCTTTTTCTTTATAATATGAATATGATTCTTTTGGATTTTTTTAGGATTAATATTATATCAGTCTGAACCTGTAGATTGTGAATCAGAACCAGATAAACTTATTTCTATCTCAGATTTTGTTTATGCTAGCTTTACTTTATTTATATAACTTAATTCATACTCAATATTATAAAGTTTTTTAGCTAAAGGCTGATTCATATCAAAATTTCTATACTTTATATCATTTTCTATAAAATGGACTGACTTCCAAATATTATTGAGATATATTTTGATTGAAGAATTTCAATCTCTATTATCTAAATCTATCTTGAGATATTTCTTAATCTTGCTAGTTCCATTATTTTTGGAAATATCATCATTTAATTTTCTGAATAATAGAGATACAAGAGATATATTATAAAATATTTCATGATATCTTTCAGTACTTATTATCTTCAATATCTAAAAGAATTTTTTTAATTATATTTTATATATTATAATCAAAAAAAATAATTAATAATTAATTATCTATCTAAAGCTCTTATCATGATTAATATAATTATTAATTAATAGCTCAAGCAAGACTATTTAATAAATTAATTCATTCTGAATTAGTTAATTCTGATGATACTATAATTGCAGAAATAAGATCTATTAATATATTGATTAAAACTATTCTATTAGATCCACCAGTAAAGATAATATTTTGAGATATTCTTAATAGATCTAAAATAAGTAAAGATAGATCAGAATCTGAGAATTCATTATCAAAATAATATGAAATAAGTAGAGATAGATTAGAATCCAAGAATTCATCATCAGAATAATCTGGATATTTGATTTTAATTTTTGAATTAAGTTTTTTTATCACTTCTTTGCCAATCTCTTTACATCTCTCTAAATTAAGATATTTCAAATTAGTATAGTTACAGGCTATTTTTTCAACAGCTTTATTATTAATTGAGTAATTACCAAGCTCAAGATATCTAAGTTTTGGACATGAGTAAGTAATTTTAATAATATATCAATTAGTAAGATATATATATAAATTAAGACTTAAATATTATAGTTTTGGAGAAAATTTCACAATTTCTATTATTGATATATTAGTAAAATTCTTATTTTTATCAAGAATAAGAAAGTATATATTTAGATATAAATGCAAAATTATACTGATAAATGTATCTGATATTTTTAAATCTTCTAATCTGAGATATATCATCTTTGAATAATAGAATGACTTTATTTTTTCATGTATAACTCTTTTAAAGTTTATTAATTACTAGATAAGAATCCAAGATATATTTAGAGTATACTAGCTCTACTAATAATTTTTATTAAAAAACTTAATATAATATCATAGAATAAGAGTATTACAATAATATCAAAAGTGATTGATGAATAAAGTAAAATAGAGAGATCAATTAATTTCTAAAAAATATAAGATCTATTTTAGTAATTCTGATAAATCAAAAATATTTAGACTCTTTAGGTCTTTATTCCATAATAGTTATATTATTCTTAAATCATATATTATATATCTTTAATTAGAAAAAAATAGGTAATGTTTGGATAATTAATTTAGATATATTTTTAAATTCATATTTATAAAATAATTTAACTATTATAATGACTGAAGCTGATAATTTCAAGATAATATAAAATATCTATAAAAAATTTAAAGTAATATTAAAATAACAGAATATAATTGATTCAGATTCAGAATATTCAATTATCACTTATGAGATTATGAAAAAATTAGATTTTGAAAGAGATAAAAGTTTACTTAATATTACTAATAAAATAGTATCTAATATTGTTAAGCAAGTATTAGATAAAAAAATCTGGATTTCTCTTTATCAATTATTAGAGATAGTAAAATTCAAGATTTAGTAAGATATTATAAATTTGATAGTAAAATCTAATATTTCTCAAAGTAATCATATACTATACAAGACTAAAAGAAAAAAAAATTTTAAATAATATTATATCTGAGTCCTCATTCTCATCTTCATCTGGATCTAATTATGAATGATCTAATAATAAAGATTTTGCTATAAATATAATGAAAGCAAAAAAATATAATTAGTTCTCATTATTAAAAATTTCTTTGTATAAATTGATAATATCCTTGATCTTACTATTTTCTTGTTTAGATATTAAAGTATTTGATCTGTCATTCATTATATCATAATATTCAATTAATAAAGTATGATCTATTTTATATCTATATATCAATTGCTATAAATATTGATGGTAGAAATCATTCTTATTTCTATATACTCTGAAAGTATGATTAGCTTCTATCTTTCTTAATATAAATAAGATAATTCTATGATAACTTAAAAATTAATTAAGAGGTATAATATTAGTATTTCTATTCTTATCTTTTAACAAGAAGAGAAATTTATCTGGTATTGATTTTTGAATTCAGATAAGTAATTTTCTTATTCATATTAAATTTTTTTCTATTGAAAGGAATAGTTAGGATTCTTCTATTTTATCTTTATTTTTTGTATAATCAATATAGTATCAAGAATAGTTAGAATTATATTATGACTCATGACTTGATCTGTATTGATTAATATGAAGATTTTTTATATCTGCTGATCTTATACATAGTATTATTATTACATCTATTAGATTTTGCATTGAAGAAAACTTGGTAATATTATATTTATTAAGTCTTTTCTGAACTTTTTTCAGGTAAAAAAATTCAGAACAATTGTAACTATTAATTTCATGAAGTATATATTTTCTTGCTTGAATCTGATTTATTTCTTTAGTAATAAAGAATATTTTTGTTATCTTAATAATGAGATAATTAGTGTCTAAGCTATATAATTCTTTCTGTAATAAATTAAGATGAGAATTTCTAGCAATAATAGTGGGAGCAGAAGAAGTCAAGTCATATACTATTCTGTTTATCTCTTCAGGTGAGAGATTATTTTTTATAATATCCTGAATAATAATTTTAATTAGATTTCTTTTCTTAATATATCTTCTAGAAGCTTGAATAGAGATAAGAGTATCAGCTTATTTCTTACTTAATTTCAATTCTTGGAAGTATCTTTTGGTCTGATCTTTGACTTTTCAGACCTACTCTTTTGTTTTACCATCTGAAAGTTTATTAGCTAACTCTTTGACATAACTACTAAGCTAGAGTAAACTAGTTTGAGAAATTAATTTATAGTAATTTACAAATAATATAGCAATTTTTACTATGATTAGTATATATTGATTGAGATATTTTATATAGATTATTTTTATTTGATATATATTATAGAAATTCTTTTCAAATCAAAATTAATTATCCTGAGTTAGTATATATATTCAAAAGTTAAATAAATTGTGATTAATATAATTTTGTTAAAAAATAAACATGAATAAGACATGAAATAGATTGAAGATTTTAGAATCTATAGCTTTACATAATAAAATTACTAAAAATATCAATGAGATCAAAAAGAATATAACATTACTTAGGCATATAAGTGCTATTTTTCCAAAATAAGAAGTTCTAGAAAAAATAATTAATATATATCAAGTATATAATTATAGTTCATGTCTATAATCAGGTAAGTCAGGTATATGATTCTCAAATATAATAATTTGTATACATAATTCATTCTGCTTTTTTCTGTGATAATTCTTTTTACTTTTATATTTACCTATATATTTATTACATGTATTATATTTAGATCTATTTGACTCATCACAATCTTATCTTCTCATATATATGCTTAAAGTCAGAAAAATAATATATAGTAATATATTAAGATATTTTA